CCCCCCCCCCCCCCCCCCCCCAAAAAAAAAAAAGAGAGAAAGAGAATAAGTCAAAAGAGAGAAGAAAAGGGATCAATAACAAATCATCTAGAAATGGTTCACATGTAATAATTTACATACTACAGGATGACACAACTTCATATGATTAAGGCTCGAGAATAAAGATTGCTCGGTATCAAGACTCCTATATTTGGTTAATCAGGGAAATGTGATCAGAATTTTAAATGGGCAATTTATAATTAATTATATAGTTTATGAGGAATTTAATATAATTATGGTGCATTAATTAATGAAACAATCAAAATTGATGTAAGAATTAAACATATTTGTTGAAGGTACCTGAGTTATAGCCTTGTTAGCAGCAAGTTCATCAACGCTACCAATATTCACCTGGACAGAATTGACTAGAAGATCATTCGCTATTTTTCTTACTTCCTTGGGCCATGTTGCTGTATACATAAGTGTTTGTCTGCGAGGTGGTATTTCATTCACAATCTTTCTAATTTGGGGTTCAAATCCCATGTCAAGCATTCGATCAGCTTCATCAAGCACAAGAAGTGAAATTTGCCTAAACTTAATCATCTTCATTTCAAGTATATCATTGAGCCGGCCAGGAGTTGCCACAACAATATCAGCACCACGTTCTAACTCCTTTAGCTGAGGACCTTTTGGGGCTCCACCATACAAACACTGAAAGAAGGAAGAGCTTTAACCCATGAAAAGGAGAAAAAACGTACAAAAAAAGGAAGCAGAAGTAGATGAGTCAAGGACACAAAAAGGCAACATTTGAAACTTACCGTACAACAAACCCTGGAAGACCTCCCAAATTTAATAGCTTCATCTTGTATTTGAGTAGCAAGCTCCCTAGTAGGAGCCAAAACCAACACCGTTGGTCCATTTTGAGGGTTATTCCGGCACTGCCTAAGAAGCATGAAGGCAGGAATCAAATAGCCCAAAGTTTTTCCGGACCCCGTTTTAGCAATGGCAACTATGTCCCGACCTTGCAGGGCAATTGGCCATGTTTGTGCTTGAATTGGCGTTGGAGAAGAGAAACCAGCAGAATATATCTATGGCACAAAGATGGAAATAGACTCAACCCAAGTTTAAAACATGCCAAAAGCATTCATGGGTGAAATACATTTTAAAAATACAGAGTTCTACAACAGCAAAAACGAAATAGCACAAAAGATCCCATAGAACAGTTGCTTACAGAAGCAACTCGAGGCAACAAAAGATGGCAATAAAGACATATTAAGCAGAGCCAATAAGCAAGACATCTCAGTCACATCAGGTGTGATCTGGTCAAAGAGCCAACACTCTACTAAAAGATGCCCTAGAAAGGCTCCAACCACCCATTTTGCAGCCTCCAAAAATCAAGGGGTTGTTGCATGTGCAAGTGTAGCAATAGCAGTGCAGCGTACGACATATGCTCCTCCTCCGGAGCAGATATCGCACCTGCGACAAGTGAGAACTCATGAGTAAAGACTACATTAATAACAGAAGAGATGAGTAAGCTGGATCATGGATTCTCTTTTTTCATGCACAACCCAGTTGAAAGAAGTTCGAGCAATCGTGAAACTTGCCTCTCTCAGTATCTCCGGAGGGAAGCCAGTAGCCTCAAATGTCATGTAAGGAGATGGAACGTTATCACCCTGCAAAATTAATTGAACTGGTCATTTACAACCAAAAAAGAAAGTGTAGCTTAACTACTACAGATTGAACCAACGGTGCACACCTCATGAATAAAGTCAGTCACACAAATTGCATTTAAAATTAGTGATGTTTCAACTTCCAAGACACTACATAACCTCGACAATTTCACACTGATTTTCCCACAGAATACGGACAACATGATTGGTAGTCAGTGATACAATTATAACAGCCCATGGCATTTACAACACCAACATAATTGGAAAAGATATCCATGCTGAAATACAAACCGTAGCAGTTACTTCATGCTGTTGACGATAAACTTCAACAGGTGACATATTAGTGACATCTGAAGCTCCAATATGAGGAGGGCCTATCAAAGCATTGTTTGACAATGGTGGGCCACCAGATCCATGGCTGTACATATTATGTGAATGCCCAGCAGCAAAATTGGTCCCACTAGGATGGCCAGGTGCTGCAGTTGGAAATGAGACACCACTCATCCTTGTGTCCTGAAAGAAAGGACAATTTGCATAAGCTACATGAAAAAATAAATCAAATAGAACAAAAATACTTGGAAACTTGATACAAAATTTTGCTTAACCTGACTTTTCCAATTCTTTTCTGTTTCTCACTGAAAGTGTTATTTCTCATATCATAGTTAAAGAAAAACATTTCTCTTAACCTAAAACTAAGTAATGGCCAAGGAAAAAAGTTGTTTTTAGTAGTAAACTGAGCTTCAAAAGAGAAATATGGAACAATACACAAGGCATACAAAAAAAAAAAAAAACCCCACAAGTGTAGACTTCCACTGTAGGAACGACCTCTAATCCAATTTCATAATTAATCAAAATCCACATATAACCTCACTCATAAAACTTTACAGTAGCTAACTACATATCTTCCATGTAAAACCCAATGATATGAAAATAAATATATCAGCCCCCTTTCAACTTTTTTTAACTTGAACAAATCTTAGGATATGAAAATAAATATATCTGGTTTTTTGTCATAGTAGACAACCATCCCTCATATTTGAATCTTACTTAAACAATGCCCAAAAAAGAAACTTAAGCATGGAAGAATTACAAATGGACATGAAATGCAGAACCTGCTGGCTCCTTGCCATTGGTATTGCTGCAAGCCTTGGTTGAAGTGGACCAACGCCAGGCCCTTCATTCCTGCCAAAGTAATATTCGTTTCCAGCTCTACCTGGCAAATTTTCAGCACTAGTTTGCTGCCCCTGCATCACTGCTGGGCTCATCTGATCTTGGAATCTAGAATGATGTTGGCGATGAGCCAATTCAGTACCTGCATGCTGCAATTGAACCACAGGATTCTGCTGTTGTATGTTTCCTGGAGAGCCAACAAATTGTCGTGCTTGGTCTGATGCTGAACCAAATTGCATTTGAGAAGAATTGGTTCCAGGATGAAGGTTATGAATAGATGAGGTACCACCACTTTGTTCAAACTGGGAAGAAGAAAAGCCAACTTGGTTTCCTGACTGGATATTATCCTCCTCTCTCTTCAGAAAAGCTGACTTCTGCTCAAGGTGATTGCCAAATGGTTGACCTAAAGGGCTTTGTTGAACTTGCTGCTTCAAATTGTGCTGCACACTTGGATGCACACTTTGCTGGTAGCCGATATACTGAAGCTGCTGCTGACCATATTGTGGTTGCGGACCTTGAGGCTGCCCAACTAATGGCGTTTGATTTTGCATGCTTGGTTGTCCTAAATGCTGGATTGATGGTTGTGGTATTTGTTGTCCTGGATTCTGTAAGGGTTGTCCTGGATTCTGCGGGGGTTGCTGATTTGGATGCTGAGACATTTGTGGATTTGCATGTGCCATTTTCTGACCTTGATGCATGACCTGCTGCTGGCCAAGATGTGGTGACGACATTGCAAACAGCCCCTGTTGCTGCATGACCTGGTTCGATTGCGAGCTATTTTGTCGCCCATCTGGTGCCATTTGCAAGCCAGGATGGTGATTAACAGTTGCCTGACCGGCAACAGAACTGTGCTGTTGTGACATAAGATGTCCAGGTTGTTGAGAAAGTTGGCTATTTGATTGGCCCTCTTGTTGAGGGACATGATGATTTTTCTGTACATGCGGTGTTAATGCACCATTCGATGGCATTGAATGAGCCTCCGAAACTGAAGTAGGATTGGAAGAAGAGACGCCAGGATGAGGACCGAGCGGCAATGGTGGTGGCAAAGAGACCGGTTTTTCATACTGAGTTACGTTAGTTTCAGGGTTCCAGTAGTATAACAGTCCAGTGCTCCCATCAATCAATCCCTTCCAGGGTTTGGGAAGAGTAGGGTCGTCCGGTGCATAGCGAGGACCAAGGGAAGGGGGAGCAGACTCTCCAGTTTCCATGACTTCAAAATGTATCAAGAAATTGATCACAAACAAGTCAGTATTCAATAAAAACAGCTAGCATCTCTCCTATCCACTGATGAAGTACCACATAGAGTTATAAACAAAGGTTAACCAAAATTGAGAACAAAATTTAATTCCAACCCAAGTTTATTCAGTATGCAAAGAGAATAAACACTAAAATCCGTTATACACTAAATTCAGATATCTTATAATGCCATAATGAAATTTCCTTCAAACTCATATCATTCATTCAATCTTCAAAATTTTCCCAATCATCCTTACATTTAAGTTGAGTAAGAATCAAACCAACGAACAAATGAATTCCAAACCAAAAAAAAAAAAAAAAAAAAAAAAAAAAAAACAGAATGCAACAAGATGATCAGAGAAACAAAATTTTATACATCTACCTCAATAAAGATCCGAATTCCGATAATGTTTCTCCTTCCTCGTCAAGACCTGACGAGAGAAGTAAAATTAAAGGATGCCCCAAATGACTGGCACGTTGAATCGCTCAATCGAACAAACAACAAAGTTCTTCAAGGAGAGATTCACAGGGGATTCTGAGGCGCTAGGGCTACTGGAGATGTTACCGAATGCATCGTCTCGTCTCAATCTACCATTTACACGACGAAGAGGGACCGATTGATAAAAAATTGGACGGCCAGGATCATCTATTGTGGCTTGCGTTCGAATCTCGCACGTCCAAATAGCGACCGGGTGGCGACGCTTCTCTCTTACTTTCGGCTCTTGAGCTCTTTATAGAACTACGGGTTACGAGTTCAAGACTCCGACACTTTGGATATGACCCGTGGGTCGACCCGTTTTATAGCTAACAATATTGTATTTTTTTTTCATTATTTTTATATGTATAAGTTTTAAAAGCAATTTTTAGAGGAGGCTCTCAGATGAAATGACTCTTCAGAATGATATGATATTATCCATTTGAGTACAAGCTCTCATGGCTCTCTAAATTAGGCGATATGGGACCTTCCCTCAATCGAGGCTCAAGGATTCTATTAGCATGGCTAAGTTTAAAAGCATGGCTCTGATACCATGTTAGATGAATACGACTCTCCACAATGGTATGATATTGTCTACTTTAAACATAAGCTCTCATGGCTTTGCTTTACGCTTCCCAAAAGGTCTCGTACCAATGGAGAGAGTATTCATTTATTATAAACTCATGATCATTCCTTAAATCAGTTGATGTGAGACTTTCATCCAACAATAACCAATAACGTTAGGAAGTGATGAAATGTAATGAACTTGATTTTTTTTTATAGATAGACACAAGAGTTGGTCGAGAGGAGAAGATGAGTATGATAAACCCTAATGCTTCAAAAACACAATTTTAACGGGAACGAAACTAGGAGGAACAAGGACAAACAAGGAGACAGAAAAACGGATAGTTCCTACGTAGTAAGACTAAAACCAAGAAACCGAGACGATAAAATGTTGAAACGGAATTAGAGCCAATTTCATTTAATGTTTGTCTCAAGCATTTATCACAAAACTACTCTCGTTTAAATATGGTCTCAGTTTATTCATATACCCCTTCGTTTACTCGAGCGTTTCAACTATTTTTACTATTATGGTCATTTGAAACTTGCTACCTAGGGAAGTTCACACGACAAGGTGAGATATGGATGTTCCTCGCTTCTGTTTCCATTCCCATTTAAATCTATTATCTCGCCCGTTGTTTCCACTCCCATTTAAACTTGAACTTAATCGGTTCGTTTTCAGGTTGATCTGAGCCAAATAAAAATATATAAATTATAATAATAAATTTTTTATATTAATAAGTTTGTCAGAGTGGTACCTCCACTCCTCCGAAGACATCCATGCTAGAGTATACATTTTTTATTATTATTATTTTGTTTAATTTCTTTATTATAGATTATTTTAAGAATTTTAATTTTTTTTTTAAGATTTTTGTTATTAAACTAAAAGTAATTCTAAATTTTAATATATTTATTATCTATTTATTCTAACATTTATTAAATGACAATTTTTATATATATATATATATATATATATATATATATATATATTTATTTATTTATTTATTTATTTTGATAGTAGCATAATTGCAATAAAAATATTTTATAGTATTCTACTTTTTGTTATATATAACATCTTATCGTTTTTATTGTTTATTTAATTTCATGATTTATCCTTATATTTTTTTTAATCGTTTTTATTATTTATTTAATTTCAATGATTTATTCGGATTAAATAGTTATTTATAGTTTTATTCTTATTTAATTTCATGTTTTATCTTTATATTTTTCTTAAATAAGTATTTATAGTTTTATTTAGTATTTAGCTTCTTTAGTTTAGTTTGATGACAATGTTGAACTATATTAATATGTTATAATTTTCGCATTAATTTTTGAATAATTATAGATCGATTTGGATTTGTTGGTAAATTTTTAATATATTTTATCTAAGATTCTATAGTAATAATTATAGATCGGGTTTGTTTGTAAACTTTTAATATATTTTATGTAAGATTCTATCGGAATAATTATAGATCGGGTTTGTTTGTAAACTTTTAATATATTTTATCTAAGATTCTATCGGAATAATTATAAATTGTGAATAAATAAAATTTTTAATTTTTTTTTGACAACTTACAACCCATCCCAATTTCGGGTTGATTGTGAAAATTTTCGGGTTGGGTTGGATTACAATTTAGGTAAAAAAAAATAGCTCAACCGAACTCAATCCCAACATGTACACCCCTAATATTGTTAAAGATAAATATTTAAAAGTGAAGGTCTCAACCAAATGCCACACAAGTGTACCTAAAAGATGGAGGGAACGAGGATATTCTAATTGTTAGATGAAAGCGTCCCGTTAATTTAGAGGATGGTCATGGGTTTATAATCTAAGAATTCACTCTCCATTTTGAGCCCTTGGGGAAACCCAAAGCAAAGCCATGAAAGCTTATGCTCAAATGGACAATATCATACCATTGTGGAGAGTCGTGTTCGTCTAACATGGTATCAGAGCCAGACACCGGACTATGTGCCAGCGAGGAGGCTGTTCCCCCTCATTGTGGAGAGCCGTGTTTGTCTAACATGGTATCAGAGCTAGACACCGGACTATGTGCCAGCGAGAAGGCTGTTCCATGGATTTGGTGGGAGTCCCACATCAATTGAAGAAAAGAAAAGGTGCCAATGAGGACGCTGGCCCAAAGGGAGTGGATTGTGATTTCCCACATTGGTTGGGGAGGAGAACAAAACACCCTTTATAAGGGTATGAAAACCTTCCCTAGCAGACGTGTAGTATGAAAACCTTCCCTAGCAGACGTGTAGTATGAAAACCTTCTCCTAGCAGATATGTTTTCACTGTTGAGAAGCCCAAAGCAAAACCATGAGAGCATAAACGGGATAATATCCTACCATTGTAGAGAGAAAAAACTGGATAATAATAATTACCATATAAACCATTATTTCTGTTTCAGATTTCAACAACTTTCTAGAACATTTCATTTATTCTTGAGAAGCTAAGAAGGAAGTGGAAGCTCATGCTTCACCTAGAAAACTCACAAGTCTAGAAACGTTTGATCATTATTGCGATTTGGATCAATTAATTAAAGGCAAAAAGTTCGATCGAGAGACTCGTAATAGCGAATCCCGTACCAGGTTCTTTTTGTTTCGATTTTCCTCTCTACAACTATCCTGGCCCAAGGGAGAGTTGGAAGAGAAAGCTGAAGAAGAAGCTCAAAGGTGGTGCCGTAGCTGTAGTTATAGCTCTGTGATCACGGCACCGAACCATCAGATCAATGGCTCTCGACGCCGAAGCTGTACCAGCGGCGGAGTTGGCGCTTGCTGATACCGACATCAACTGGAACAGGTACTCCACTAGCTTTTCCTCTGCGATCAATATTCTACTAATTTGCTAGCGAAAATCATGATCCTCACCGGTTTTTGAACGAAAGTATGCTAGATGTTAACGTCTTGTTGTTGTGGAATTTGTCTTGTATGTCTTGGTATCTGTTTTAGGAATTCGTTTAAGGGTCTGAGAAGCGCGTTTTAGCTATTAACATCCGATTGTTGTGAAATTTTGTTTGGTTTGTCTAGACTTCGAATTTTTTTGGTCAGAGAATATTAGGATCTGATAGTTTTGGTATCTTCTTTTTTTGTTAAGCATGTGGAATTTGGAGCTTAAACTAGGTCGATGTTCTATAATCGCCAAACTAGGCTTCTGTACCAGTTGATCATTACACAATATAACGTGTGATTTCATACTAGGCGATTGTTCTCCTCTACTTTACTTCTAACGTCCTCACCTTCAATAATCTCCACCAGTACGCCTTCATACTTTTCTTTTCGTTTACAGTCTTGTCAATGCTACTGTAGTTTTTTTCTCAAAATGAAAATATTTTTTGTGATCAAGAATTGTAGCTCTTTTTTACTGATTGGTTGGAATGTATTTCCATGCTTCGTGTAATGTTGTATCCGTTTTTCTTGTAATGTTACTGATAACTTCAATTAGGTTGGACAAGACAAAGTTTCATATAATTGGAGCAATTCTCTTTACTGCTCAGTCAGCCTTGTTACATCCAACAGCGGTTGTAAAAACTAGAATGCAAGTTGCTGGATCTGGTCTGTCTCACATGCGTGGACTGTCAGTTTTCTGGAATATATTGAAGTCTGATGGAATCTCTGGCTTATATAGAGGTTTTGGTACTTCAGCGGTTGGTTCATTACCTGGTAGGGTACTGGCTTTAACATCACTGGAAGTATCGAAAGACATAATGTTGAAATATACTGGAAGTCTGCAAATGCCCGAAGCAACTCGTGTTGGTCTTGCTAATGGAGTGGCAGGCATGATCTCAAATTTGGTTTCATGCATATACTTTGTGCCGTTGGACGTGGTACGTGAACATTTCTTTTCTATTCTTGTCGAGATCATATTTGTTTGTGAAGAAGTTTAGCTCAGAAGATTGGGATTGAAATTTGATGAGAGAACTCTTTAAGACTTGCTTGAATTTAATGATTTTCCATACATGGTTCATGGTTACAAGATCCATGCACATAGTTTAGTGGTAACAAACATGTAATCTTTTCTTTCATGTTGGAGGATCAAGTTCCCATATTTGTTGTACTAAAAAAGAAAAATGAAAAAGTTCCCATGTTTAATTTCCAATATAGTTCTTAGGATGGAGTGGTCTTGTTTCTTCACTTGGTTTGAAGACAAAAATTATATGGATAAAAACAGAAAATTTGCTCTTGATTGAATGAAGGACGTAATAGTGAACTTGTTCCTCTCTGCTGCTTGACAGTTTATTATTGTCAGTACGTTAAGTGAGCAGCTTCAATTTTAATCTGTATCTATACCTATATCTATATCTACTACTCGTGATGCCCCGGAATAACTACACAATGTCAATTGTTATCTGCAGACTTGTCAGAGGATGATGGTTCAAGGGCTACCTGGAACCACCTTCTGCAATGGGCCACTTGATGTTGTGAGAAAAGTGGTGAAAGCTGAAGGATTTCGTGGTTTATATAGGGGTTTTGGATTAACGGCTGTATCTCAATCCCCAGCATCTGCTCTCTGGTGGGGTGTCTATGGTGCTGCTCAGCATATCATATGGAGGTGCAATAATTTTCCAGCATAGTCAACTATATGGATTAATTTTACATTAATGGTTAAAATCTTGGACTATGAGTAATCTAATCATTATTAGGAGCTTAGGATATCGAGATAGCATGGAGAAGAAACCTTCTCACATGGAGATGGTTACTGTTCAGGCTACAGCTGGAATGGCGGCAGGTGCTTGTTCGTCTATTATTACAACTCCTCTAGACACAGTAAAGACACGACTTCAGGTAAAATAGTTTTTAGTATTAATACGCTGCACGACATTGGTACGAAATGATGAAATGGCTAAGACAGTCGCTTATTTTATTTGTGTCTCTCCAATGCAGGTCATGGATAACTATGGAATTGGAAGACCATCTGTGCTCAAGACATCAAGAGCACTCTTCAAGGAAGATGGATGGTTGGGGTTTTATAGAGGCTTTGGACCTCGGTTTTTGAATATGTCACTTTATGGAACCACGATGATAGTCACATACGAACTGATCAGTAAGTCATATTTCACATTTTTCTTATGTGAAAGTTTATGAAACTGACTCAAAACACCTAAATTATTAATCATGCTTCTCGTGCAAATTTATAATTATATTTATCTATAACGATCATCTTTTATTAGTTCTTCTAAAAATATTATATCAGTCCCTTAAATATATAATATAACCTTGTGCATTGCTGTTTAATCCTCTATTATACTTTTTTATCAGAGAGACTTTCCTTAAAGGAGATCGTGACATCTTGAATGGGAGGGACTTGTGCGGGACGTTTAGAAGGAATAGAATAGTAAGCTAGATGCTTCATTTTTTTTCATTCTTTTTTCCATCTTTTTTGGATGGTGGGGAATGTAAGCAGCAGATGAAACATAGAAGCAACACATTGACACAGGATGGTACCAAACTAGCAACGGTACAAACGTAGATCATTCCATTTTTCCTTTCTGTATGCTGAAACACAGGTGTCCTTTTTACAATTCTAAAGTCACCAATATGAATTTCATTTTGTTAGAACTGTATTCATGAACTAATGGAAAGATGAATAATATTTCATTGATTTGTAGGATTTCTTGCATGCTTGAATCATTGATTTTTTCCCCTCTTGGCGGTGTAGTAAGCATCTTAAACTAGCAGTGGATGAATCATAGCGATAGAATCATCATTGACACAGGACAGATCTTAACTTGCAGTAGTTGAAACGTAGACCATTCCATTCTTGTAATCATGAACAAACGGATAAAATGAATGATGTTTCATTGATTTGTAAGACTGTCTGCATTCTTGAATCCCACCACCAATGCAAAGTTGCAATACCGTCGGAGCCTGCTGGCGGTGACTTCAGGTATCAGAATACTTTTATCGTTACTTTGTGGTGCATAAATATTACCTCTTATTTTGCTATTCTTATGTTACCAAACTTTGAATAAGGTGAAGGGCCCATGGTTTTGGAGTGATCAGCCAGAGAATTGGAAGAGTCTGTGTAACGGCCCAAATCTACTGTTAACAAATATTGTCTGCTTTGACTCGTTATATAACAGCTTCATGGTTATAAAATGCATCTGCTAGGGAGAGGTTTTCACATCTTTATAAAGAATGTTTCGCTCTCTTCTCCAACCAATGTGGGATCTCACAGTTCGAGAATGTTATCATTGGAAACAACTGCATTCCTACTTCTGTATTCTCATACGTCAATCAAATCAGCGAAGCAAGGTAAATATTGTCCATATGTCGTGAAATGCGTTGCTTAACACACTTGGGGTTGGATGGCTGGGGGGTAGAAAAATATGGAAACTGAGCATGATCGTCTTCTCTTGCATTTGTGAATAAAAATTGAACATTGTTGCTTTGTCATGGCATTTACATGCAGGTGATTTCACTCCAGTTTGTACCACGGAGATCTGGATGATGGCTGCTCAAACAGAGTTTGATAGAGAGGGTGTGAAGCTCTTAGGATTGTCTTGAGATGAAGTTCGATCTCATTCCGAGTGGATCAAGGATATCAAAGCCTATAATGTGAGTTTTTCGATATGCCGTGGTTCTTTTGGTATTTGAATAGTTAGGAAAATACGGTAGCAGTAGGAAAAAAAAAAAAAAAAAAAAAAAAAAAAAA